CCTGCCTTTTCTGATGAGAACCACATGTTGAAAGAAGCAGGCAAAGCTTCATCGGGCCTGCACCTGACAAGCACCGACCATATCATTTCGTCTTCATCCTCTAACCCTCACAGTGCACCGATGATCCAAAGAGCCAGGAGTTTTAAAGAATAGAGTCGGCATTGAAGCCAAGAGCACTTTACTGTCCTGTCGGCCTCTGGCTCGTGCCCGATTGAACATTCTTTGTTAGGAATGTTTGGAATCCTGATTTGGAAAACTAATCCTCCTCGAGTCTCCCTCACTTCACCATATAACAAGATATATCAGGTATATATCATCGAGCCATTACAGAGACTGTCCCTGTCCTCTGCAGAGATATGTGACCGTACAAATGTCTCATAAAAATGTTCTCTGGACATGTTATACAAAATTGTGCCAACATAGAGGAGAACATAACTGAGTGTTACTCTATAGTTTGACTCACTTCAGAAACCAACAAATGTTTCAGATCTCTCAGAGCTCGATGGAAACCTTGTCAGTATAGCTCATTTTAAGTCACACTCCAATTTAAACCTGGATTACGGTGTTAAGACTGAAAAATATGAAGTAGAAATATGTTCTATAAAGGTCCTTGTTTGTTCAAACGGTTGCTTTTAGCTGACTAATACAGTGAATCAACAGGTCAGTATATAACAGTTGTGCTCAGCTCGCTGAAGTTGCACTGACTGCACAGAGCACTGCTGAGAGTTAGATGCTAAAATCAGCATGCCAACACGCCCATGCTAATATGGTGATGTTGAGCAGGCCCACAGGTAACTGTCTGCTAATCAGCGCTAAACCCAAGGCTCAGTTAAGGCTGCTCAGAATGTAGTTTGTTTTCCAGGTATAGAGCCATAAATCCAAGTACTGAACAAATACAAAATTTAACCTGACGATGGTACTGCATTAAAAGTCGGAATATCAACATATTATTCGCCTTCAGCCTGAACGGGACAGACATCTCCGCAAACTGCAGAGAAAGCCTAGACCCAATTCTCCAGACTTTATCCACAGGTCATGTCTGAAAGCAAATCATTCCTCAGCTAAAAGTGAAGAAGCTTAAAAATAATAATTAAAAATAGATCCGATGAGTCCCTATGTCTTGTGCTGTTTCACACAAAAGAAAAATTCCCTCAGTGTAAAAAAAAAGAAAAAAAAAAGCCATACAATATTTTTTGAACAGCTGCCTGAGCGGCCCTTCCCCCTCAGATCCCCCGCAGTGAAGCGGCAGTAGGTCAGCAGTAGCATCAGCAGACCCACGGGCAGGCATCATTATAACATGGCTGTGGTAATTAGAAGGACCACTCAACCACTGATCAAAGTGAAGTAATGTGCTTTATCTGCTTTAGAAGGAGCTGAGGTCAAGTTTCCCACTGGCTTCACTGAACCCTTCACCAAAACACCAAACTCATCATTGAGGTGGAGCTGGTGCCAATGAAGAACACTGACTCCAGATCAGTGTAACTATACGCACACTTCAGGATTACTAGAATCAATGTCGTCAGCTGCAGCTTCAGGCTACATCCACACTTCTATGTTTTCAACTCTGCTACAGACGCGCCTGGCGTCCACACTGACCTTTGGAAATGCTGTTGGCCCTATTTTAGTTTGAAGAGTCCGCTGCAGCGTTTTAGTCTGGACGAGCAGAAAAAGAGATATTTGGAAACAATGACGCAGACACTCACAACTGCTTGTTGATTGGGTCTTTTCGGTCATGACGTGGCATTTGCTGATTTGTCAGGCTCCTATCACATGACCCACTTCTTGAAGAATCGGAAGAACGCGACATGGATAGGTTACAAGCGTCGTTGTCAGTTTATTTCAGCATTTTGAACGCATTGTGATATGTGTTTTCAGGTGGGTCAGTATGGACGGGGATTCAAATTGATACTGAGACGCTGTGAAAAAAAGATTGTTTTCATTTTAAAATGCATTTTTCAAACTCAAACGTAGTAGTGTGGATGTAGCCTCAGTAGATGACTGTTTCTGTTAGAGGTGAATTAACTGCTTCAGTTTCTAAGAGCAGTGATTTGTATCATGTTGACATGAGGCCATAAAGTTAAAGCTAACGAGGGAGGAATTGCATTTTCAGACTGTGACAAGTCTGAACCTATGAAAACTCCATTTATAGATGGACTGTGTTTTGTGTGTGAGGCTTTATTGAGATTTCATTACAATCTGAGTATGTTGCAGGGGGGGGGGGGTATACAGCAAACCTTTGTGAGGCAAACTGAAAGGCCTCTTTCATAACATCTAATAGGGAAACATTTAGACTCAGTTAACTTCTCACACAAATCAATACAACCTGACCCTGTCTGCGTCTCTTGTCTGCCTGCAGCCAGACCACTTCATTACAGAGTAGAGTGCAACGTGAGCTACTCTGAGCAAAACTACAGCAAACAACAAAAACACTTTACTCATAAAGGAAGAAGAGCAAACAGGAAAAGTTATTTTGAAAGTTCACCCTGTTTTGAAAGATGAACTTCCTCCAGAATGAGCAGCTTCACAGTATTTTTCTTACCGAGAAGGGCCTGGAACAGCTGGCTTCCCAAGATGGCCGACACTTTACCCACACTGGTCCTCAACGTGTGCTCCTCTGGACTGGTGAGGTTGGCCTGGTACTTCCTGAGCAGCCCCACTGCCCGCTCTGTGTCTGCCTCACAAAATACATACAGGTCTCAGCTCAACAGTATCAAATACATAAATATTTTAATATATTTCAAGATATACAGGGACACAATATTATAATATGTCAATGTCAACTTCACTGTCATTTCGGCCATATGTAAAGGACATAGACGATAGATATTGAAATGAAGATTCTCTCTTTCGCCGTTGTAAACATATAAGTAGAAATATAAGTACTCAACATATAAGTGCACAGCATAAGTATGCAGTCAAAAAGGCACAGGGTATATAGGATATGAACTGCAGTGTATGGTAGTGGTGAATGGTACAAAATACTGTAGATTGAGCAGTGCAAGTAGTTTATGGCTATGGTGCAGATAATGTACAGTAGTGATACAAGAAAAATACTTATTTTACTCGACTAGCAATACAAATAAAAAGTAAACATGTATTACGAAATGAATCATTCATAAAACATGATGAATGATAATTAAGTTGGTTCCAAGAGCATATAAAAATCTAAATATTTAAAACCTAAACATATATTTATTTAGTTGTGTTGCATCTACATAAAGCTCTGTTGTCTGTTGTATTCTGCTGCACAGCACATTAAAGGTACTTTCCTCTTCAACACAGCTGCTGGTTGAACCTGGTGGGTGGTGAAGAGCACAGCACAGAGATGATGCACATCACTGAGGTAAATCTGCTGCTTCACACTGTTTCTGTCTGATCCTCAACATTTCCATGAAAACCCCAGAACAGTCCTGAAGTTCCACAAATAAAAAGTGTTTCTCAGGGGGTTGTATACCTGAGGTTGGTGGGTCAGTCTCGTGGATTGTTGAGTAATGAACCTAAAAACTTTAACTCTGACAGAAGTTCACTCTCAAACTTTCCGGGGTAGTCACAAGTAACGGTACTCACCATATTTATGCACCATGCTGTGGCCAACTCGAAAAGTCATGGGAACTACAGAACTTGTTTCTCCTTCTTTAGAATCAAAATAAAAGCAGCAATAATCCTCAGGAGCGGTGGCTCCAGCTTCTTCACACACAAGTGAGATGATTTAAAATCCAGTCGCTGGACACTCCCCGCCTGTCTGTCTGTCTGTCTGTCTGCGTGTGTGTGTGTGTGTGTGTGTGTGTGTGTGTGTGTCTGTCTGTCTGTCTGTCACACACTCCAGGGCGTGAAGTTGTGACAGGAGCAGATTGTTTACTTCATGACAACTTTCCAGAAGTTTTGGGGCAAAACGGTCCTGGAGCGTGACATGTTCCTCCTCCTCCTCCTCTTCCTCCTCCTTCTCCTCCTCTTCCTCCTCTTCCTCCTCCTCCTCCTCCTCACACACACACATGCCTCGCCTTCATGGGAATCGACCTCTTTGACGCAGATCCTCTCAGGCCACCAACACTAATACATATACCCCACCTGCAGTTATGTGATTTCATGTGAAGTGACCAGTCTGTTCTGAAATGTGAGAATCCTCCATGTTAAAAAATGTTCACGCATCAGCTTCATTCTTCACGTTTTCTTTGTATCGTGCGCCATCTACTGGTGCGTAAAGGTGGTGCTAGGAAACCGCAGATTAAAAAAAGGGGTGCAGCTCGGTGTGCGTGTGTGTGTGTGTGTGTGTGTGTGTGTGTGTGTGTGTGTGTGTGTGTGTGTGTGTGTGTGTGTGTGTGTGTGTGCGCGCGCGGGGGGTGGGTTCTGATGAAGTGCCTCAAGTGACTCAGTTTCACATGAGGCCGAATCCACGTGTCTGTAGATTATAAAACATGTTTGAGGGCGTGGAGTTGGAAAGAAGAAGTAATTTTACCATCTGTGCTCGAGGCTACCCGCTTCCGCAACAACACACCTGAGTCACTAACTCACCTGTTGAGTTGCATTGTGGGTAATGTTGGCTCCAGGTTTTGACAAAGAAGAAAGACTGATGTATCGCTGTCTCTTGTTGTGATGTTTCTTGATCACTCAATTTACAGAATATTAACTGGCCACAACTTTGATGAGTGATTAATAAATTGTTGTTTTAAGAAGAAGAGCTGCTAAAACTTTTTTCCAGCATCTCAAATGTGAATATTTCCTATTTACCAGGTTTTAGATCTTTATATTTTTGACTATATTGTAAACAAATGATGAGAATACATTAACATGGATTTCTAGGAATAATGGCAGATTTTGTTTTGCCACAATACTCATCAGATCAATTGATTAGTAATGAAAATATCTGTCCCGAACAATTGATAAAAAAATATTGTATTTCCATGTTGGCATAACATCATTACAAACATCACATAACAAAAAACTGAAGCACTTTAATAAAACGCATGGGAGTCACTTTATTGTGTATAACAGTATGTGTATTTGTATGCCCATTAAAGGATTTTAAAATTCCTCTGCAAAAGTAACTTGCAACCATAGAATCCAGATAAAAGAATGTGCATGTAAATGCACTTTCATGTAAATGTGATACTAATTGAGTTAAATTATGTATCAATCTCTAAATAAGCAGTTAATGTTTAAAATCGTCATCAGATGTCTGGCGTTAATTCATAATCATATGTCAAACAAACAAACAAATCAGTAGTTCATACAGCCAAAGTTTAATACACAAGACCGGAGCTTGTTCAGGCAGCCAACTCGAGCTGCGCTGCTCCAATCATGTGACACACATCATGTGACATACCTCATTCTCCACAATCACCCTTTTTACGCAACCACCTTATTAGGGCGACCTATTTAAGCGGATACAAATTTCCCATCACCCCCTCTGCTCTCACTGCTGCTGCAGTATTGCTTCCAACTGCTTCAGCCCCTCCACCACCCCAGCATCCACCTGCAGGCTCTGACAGGGAGTTACAAGTATTTGCTAGTCACTCCCATGATATCTGTGTAATAGGGAGTGATTAAGTTGGAGCCTAGACTCCAAACACAAACTATTTCACTGCTTCAGTAAACATCTGAACCTGAGTTGTATGACTGAACTGTAGTTATGGCACATTTCTCACGCAACCACCAGCACTCTCACCTGAGGACCTTCCACCTTTGGAGCCATGGGTCCTACTACTGCACATGTTGGCCCATGAGGGAGGCAGGAGTGCCCGGGGGGACCACCGCACGCTTGGAAGACCATGCGAACGTCCATGTGGAGATTCCCGGGCTGGATTCAAGCCCTTGACCTGACACTGTGACTCAACCCCCCCCTTTATTTCCTTTTGTTCCCATAATTACTTGTTCTTTCTCCATCACCCCAACCGGCCCAGAGGCCGTCCACACTGAGCTCAGTTCTGCCGGAGGTTTCTTCCACCTGGGAGTTTTTCCTCCCCGCTGTTGCTCATGCTTGCTCGGTGTGGAACAAATTGGATTTTGTGTTTCTTAAGATCTTGGACTTTTGTGCAGCACCCTGAGACAACTGTTTGTTGTGAAACCGTGCTATATAAATACATTTGATTTGATTTCCTGCAGTGCTGAGGCCATAAAAAAGTATTGAAACAAATCACAAAATAACAATAGAAAAACACGTGAACATGAAGTGTCAAGAAAAATAAAAATCAGTGCTGATCGAGAGAGGAACATTGTTTTCAGTTGCAACAGAATAATAGCAGAAACCCTACGAACCATAAACCCAGTAAAGCAGCCAGACAGAAAACAAACCCCCCACACTGTCATCTAGTGGTGTAGTGCTGACATTTAAATCACATCTTACAAAGTCTGTAAAAACAACTTTCATGGCTTCAGAAAATCAGTGTCTGATGATAATTATTCACATTAACTTGCTTTGTCCCTGATTCAGGGTAAAATCGTTGCAGCAGTTCCAGGTGCTGGGGTCAGTCCCTTCGTCCGTCTACACGTTGAGTAAGAGGGTAGAAAGTTCTTTATCGTTCAAGGCAGAAGTACTGTTTCCTTGCGTCTCTGTTCCTGTTTAGAGTCACATAGAAACCACATGAAGGGACATACCTCAGGAAAAAAGCTACTACCACTTAATGAGCAGTTAGATTAATGAAGTGTAATTAAGTATTTTGTTAGTAGATGATTCTTTTAATGATTCGTGGATCAGTTATAAATTATCTCTGTTAATATGTTAGTGAATCATCAGAAAATTAGTCTGCAGCTATTTTCATAATCATTGACTCACTTCAGTCATTTCTCAAGAAAACAAGGAAAAACATTCCTTTGTTCCAAATTAGAATTTTTTTCTTTTCTTTTAAACTGAAAATATTCTGGACTTTTGGAAATATTGATTAACATTATTTCAGATTTAGAAAATAATCTGCAGATTGTGATCATCATGAAAACCATCATTAGTTGCATCTCTAATCTTAACATATTAAAATCTAAACTACTGTACCTCTCCTGTGACACAACCTGTGTGTTTTCCTGGCAGAAACGGTGGAGGTGATGAGTCAATCTGTTCGATTTCATTGAACATTTTACACAAATGTGTCACAGCAAACATCTGCTCGTCTTACCTCTGATAGATGAAGAGCCCCGTCATCATCAGAAAGGATAAAAGATCCACTACGATCCATATGATTCTGTATATGTGAGGTGCCTGAAACACAGAAACAAGACACACTTCTTAGCGCTAAAGGAAATGCTTGATTGGTTTTTATTCCTTATTCCTTACAGTGTAATGAACGTATCGCTCACCATTAACCAATCAGGTTGGTTCATTTCTTTTAGGAGGTGGCAGGAGTTGGTGGCGACGGAGCTGGCCCCTGCACACCACAACAGAGAAAACAGCCATCGCTCATTCACCACCCATAGGTTCACGTTAATGTTCTTCATCCGCAGTTCTCTGCCAGATACAGACAGTTTGAACAAGAAAACAGATCTTTATATAGATTATACTGTAGGTGAATGAAAAGAGAAATATTAAATAAAAATTGGCTATAGATCATAATAATCATGTGTGTACACAAGTATGCTGAACAAACTGCTATCCATCATGGACAACCCTGACCACCCTCTCCACCACCTCCTCCAGGCTCAGAGGAGCACATTCTCACATAGACTCAGACAACTCCGCTGTCACAAGGACAGATTCAGGAAGTCATTCCTGCCATCTGCCATCAGGTTTTATAATAACTCCCTGTAACAATTGTAACAACTGTTTAACTCAACCACATTAGTCTCCTATTCCATCTGCATTGTAAATGTAATCTATTTGCTGCTATTTATAATGACTCGTATTCAGTATCAGATGTTATTCTTGCAGACTGTATATAGTAGCTAGGTTCTTTTGCACATCACTGTATCACTTACTACTTGCACTGTTTTATCACTTTATCACTGTACACCTTCTAGTCTTTGCACTGTTTTATGTTTTTATGTTCTTATGTTCTTATGCTTCTTGATTACTGAAACATTCAACCAGTCTCCTCTGTTTTAACTTTTAACTTTGCCTAAATTTAGCTCTGTCTGAACAACTCGGTCACCGTCCTACATGTTGCTCTTATGTAAAAAAAATTGAAAAAAAAGAATTGTACTTATTGCACATGTCTGTACTGCTGGAACACAAGAATTTCCCCTCGGGGATGAATAAAGTATGTCTATCTATCTATCTAAGTATCTGCATATGATGATAAAAAACCTTTGTGAAATCATGTTGCAAAAATACTTTTCATTCTTTCCTATGTTTTATTTATTGCCTCCTCTGCAAGCACAGTGTGTCAGCATGCTCCACACACACACACACACACACACACACA